CATACCGGTCTATCTACAATCCTAAAACAACTATTTCTCCAGTATATGTGAATATACAGTTGAAATGTTGGCTAACGGCTACACAGCTCAACATAACAATTTACATTTTGAAAGTTCGTGGTTCGTACACAGACAAACCACCGTAGTACTGATGAAGCACATCAAGAACAAAATAGCTCTTTTGACAAACACTAAAAATTAATCCCGGTAAAATGTGTTTTTTCTGTCCCAACTGTTGTTCACCTGACCTCTGGTAAACATTACCAACACGTATGTGACCGAATGCTTCGGCAAGGCAAAATAACGTTATGAGTGTGCTCTACCATTTAGCCATCGTCACGTGATCATGGAAACAGGGGTACTTTTTTCTGTTCACCATACTCTAACTGACCTTTCTGAGCATACGCACTGGCATACTGCAAAGATCTGTCAAATAAGTCGATAAACTCCCGTTTGGACTTGTCACGTTTATGAAACCCATGATCGTTGCAACTCCCTCCAGTGATAAAGCGGTTAAGTGTGAAAATGAGTGGTCCAGTTTAAGGCAAACCCATTTCGTGGGCCTCCTTGGACGAACACTTTCATACGTGTCAAAACGAATTGAGCACAGCTGTATTCACGCGGTGCAAGGTTCATACAATCGCGGAGATTACGGCGGTATTCGTCCCCATAGCTTCAGAGGGTCTGTATCTTTTCTAACTCATGCTACTAACGAAGCTGAACGTAATATTACCCCTGGTAAATTTGATTTATAGATATAACGTATGCAGACACATTAGTTAAGTTCTCACATACAAAGAGGCACAAAGTCTTGACAAATACCCGACAAACCTCCCCAACAGTATTAATATAATCCATTCCGAAGCTAAAGGGGTATGCTTGTCAAGTAAATGACACATTGCAAACGGAGACGGAAAAAAATGTCTTCACTACTTACTGCAGCTGCTCACAGTTTGCAATTTTGGGAGTATTTGTTGAAAGTGATTTTGTCTGATAGAGTATTTCTGATATTTTTTCCGTTTTCGTTCATATTTCACGTTTCTTTTTATTGAACGCTATCACTTGCAGGCAGAGGGAATCGGCCACTCAAAGGGTCTTCATACAGCACATGTTCGAGCAAGTCAGGTGGTGGTGGTGGTGGTGGTGGTGGTGTTGGTGGTGGTGGTGGTAGGACTGGAGCACAAGTCTGTAGGGTTGATAATTTGGTGTCCTTTACACCGCCCAAATAAGGATCTCTTTCATCAACAGTCAATAGGGAGCGTTGGCGGAATGCGTGACACCCTTATTCGTGTGAGAGTCGGCAAAATCTGAGTAGACTCTTTTATCTGAAAGTTGTCTGGCGCATTTAATTTAAATAATACGAGAGTCTAGTTTATCAAGCTTGACACGTGATTTTCAGGGTCGCATTCAATACAGGCAACTGCACACGAAGTGCTTTTATCTGCTGGTCTTATAACAAGACTCCGTTAAGGATATACCGAAAATTAGGCAACGCAATTAATTAAGAAATTCACATATCTAATCAGCAATGATCTATTTACTTTGGGTTTTTGACCTGTTTATTCCAGATAACTAAGGCCTTCAACATATCATTTGAGGATGCTGCTGAAAAAATGGCAGTTATTTGCAGGATCTGTCTAACAGCAAAAATTATTAGTCTCAATCATAAAACGTAATTTTGATTGACGACATAGTCTTGATGAAACATCATAGAGCAAAAGGTTTACTAATGGAGCGATTCTACAATAATTGAAATTGGTGGATACTATTTAGACTGTACCAAACCTACATCGTTTTAATTCCAATGAACCCTCGATCGATATAACTTACTCGACAAATCAGCTGATATATAACTGACGTTTTCAAATAACATTCTACGTGACTGACTTCATTTATTAATTTACTTTAATCTTTTGACAAAGTGAGTTAGTATTTTAATTTCAATCAAACCTATTATCAAAGATCTGTGTCCGGTTCCTGAACCACATGAGTGCATCCACCTCGATTGTAAAAAAGCGTCCTAGAGAGAACACACACTGACTATTGACTCTAGAGAAAGTATCGCTCATAGTCCATTGGAACACAGTGTACTCTAGATACCGCATCATGAAACATTCAAATTAATATTCTTTTCTTTTCTACGCTAGTAGTCAGTCCTCCGATACAACGTCTGCTGGTAAAAAGAACATCTTAATTCGGCAGAAATTCATGGTTTTCCAACGGTATCTGTTTACATTTTTTCCTGCCATGTGCTTGTTCCAGAGTGATGGATAAGAAATTCGAAAGCAATGCAACTACATTCCATGAAATGTAATTGTTTTACTTAGATTGTTAACCAGTTATACCATGCAGTCATGAAATTCTTTTTTTAAATCGTGAACAGAATTAATTCATTTATAAGGAATTATAGTTTGGGGAATCAGAGGGGACTTGTGCGTCAATATGGAGTTAACCTTGTGTTCTTTTTCTCAGTGTTCTGTTGAATGCGAATCAAGCTGGAGTTTAGGATAATGCAAACAGAAGTGGGCGAGGAAGACGGAGAGAAAACACCCGTGACTAAAGGAGCTTGGTGCCAGAAAGTGCTCTTGAGGTCAGAAAAACAGGCGAATTAGCGTTCGTGTCTCACACCGTGCGATATTATGATACGCCAGAATGAAAACAGCATTAGGGTGAAATTGTATGAAGCGCGATTGTTATAGTTGACGTTGTTGTTGTTGTTTTTGTTGTTGTACCTATGGAGGAGCTCATTTCCGGATAGGCAGCATTCTGTTAGTTGTATCGGAACTCAGATGCATCACCATTGCCAACACACGTCGCTTCACTTCCTCAGTTATGCACATTATGAATATGAAAACAGTAGCCAATTAGATCCCACATTTTGAGGATAAAGTTGTCCCCGTACAAAATAAAAATGTCCTTGCGTTACTTTGAGTTCTTCCGTGCTCATTCCAAACTGTTCTGTGAGCGTTTATAGTTTTCTCTCTATCATTTAAAGTCGTGCAACTGACATCTCCAATTGTCCCAGCACCATTTCGAGCCATCCGAAACAATCCATTAAAAATCCATTAAAAACGTTAACACCATCACAGTTACTAGACCAAAGTACACTTAAAGCCTCAGCGAAATGTTTAGATGATCACCACTCACCTTAAGTATTATTCATTCTCCTGTTGAAGCGCCTGTGACAGCGAGGGATAAAGGTGATGTTGTCACGTTACTCGACCCCGCAGGCCTCAACCACGTGTCTCGGTGATTCACTATTTACTTACGCTTATCCATTTGCACTTCACATGTGTTTATTTCATCCCGGCTGAATTATCTTCTCGAGTCATGTTACTCTGAAAGCAAGTGGTCACGCTCGATTGATTAGCTTCATTGTTATCTATAGACACATGGATTCAGTTAGTGAGAAGCTAGTAGATCCTTACTCTGTCTAGCGTACGCGACGTGCTAGTGATTGAACACTGCTCACCTATAGCTTGGTTCGTCTGGGATCTCTGTATAATTCTCTGGATTCCAAGTCTCAGTGATACGAAGCCAAATGTGGTTAACGAAGGAGAGTGATTTACAGACATAGTAGAATGGGAGCGTAATTTGAGATTAAAAGTTATAGAATCCTCCCAAATGAATCACTTCTAATGATTGAAACAACTGTGAAGTGACTGGATAGNCGTGTAGTGATCATGTGTGTTTCGTAATTCTAAACATGCTGTTGATCGTTAAAAATCAGAATAACTTCGGATCTTTTCCAGATAAGCCCCGTCACTGATGCAAAACGTGCATGCCCAAAAGGGTTAGTACCGCCACTTTCTGTACACAACCTTGACCTATTTTTGATGAATAGAATTCCTAATCCGCATCTAAGCTCATTTTGTGCAAAATATTTCTCCGTTGGGATGTAAAACATTAAATGAACTTTCGGACGCTTCCAACTCTCGTTCATGACAAGGAGACCGCAATACGTATTTTGTAAAGCCACGGAATGATCCATCAGCCACGGTCATGCAACAATGGTCTTCAAA